TATTTGTTGGTTTGGATGAAGTTTTTGGAAACTCGAGTCAAAATGACCCAGCCATCGTCATTGGAGGGTTGAATCGGGTTTTTCGGTATCGCAGGCGGAACGTTTATCGGGTTAATCGGCCGTGTTAACGGAATTACGCAACCCGTGTGTGGGAATATCCGTTAAATAAATATTTATTTTACGCTTCCTGTTCGGTATTACCGCAGAACAAAAAATCAAGAAAAAGAATTGAAGAGGATTAAGGTGGAACGTGATTCCGTTCTCCGATTTCGATCTTGTAGCTTGATATTGGTATTATGAATTATAATTGTTGGATTAGACAATATACAGACGATCACGTCACGATTTGATCGATGCTTATTAAACGAGTGATTTTTTGTTCATCGATGCACGTATTAGATCAAGTCAAAGTGATTTTAGTTGTTCTGTTTCGATACAGTTTCGATACAAAATACGAGAACCTTTAGATAAGTGGATAGAAAAATGAGATAACATTGGATGACGCGATATACAGGGTGTTCCGTTTAAAACAGGCCACCAAAAATCTTCTCTATCTGTGCTAATACGAGAAATATTTTTTACGTAATTTAAATGGTTTCAGGAGACTTTTCCTAATACCATTTCCGAGAATGTTCCTATCTATCTAACGAAAATAAATTGAACTAAACAATACCATGCCATATTGTATCTTCAGGCTCATAATAGGAGTTATAAATATAATAATAATTTAAAAAATTTAATGATTCACGAAATTTAAAAATTTCCGTGTCGCTTTTCCAGCCCGTCGCCAATCGTTAACGACCAAGATATTAACCATTGTTGTCAGACAATTCCGATTTAATTGGCGGTCTGGGCCCACGATAAATCACGGCCACGTTAAATCATCAAGCCCGTTCGAAATCACCGCGGATGGCAGATTAATTGAACCCGGTCGCCGCCGCGTGGCGATCCATTGTTCGAATTGTTTCGTATTATTACATCAGTCATTACGTGATTCACATGCGAAAGCGATCCGAGCGCGGTGATCTATGTATACGTGATCGTTTTGTGGATCGTTCCTCCGAGTGACGCGCCATTTCACGGAATTTAGCTGCATGAAAATATTATAGGCAATGTTTTTATTATTTTTTGTCATGATTTTGTAAATTCTATGTGGATAAACATTGTATGACAAACTTATGAAAAATTTGTAGTACAGAATTGTGATGAAAATTTGAATTTAAAGAATCGAAAAATACATTTTTAGAGGGGAAGACATTTCTTTTAATAAATTTAAAAACAAACAGACAATTTTAAGTTGGATTAAGTCATCGTTTCCCTTACTTCTTATTTTAATTAAGTCTTAAGTTAAGTCATTATTTCCTTGACTTTTTATTTCCAAAATTCCAAAAGATCGAATTTGATTTGCAAAAGGATGAATTTCATCTGCAAAAGAGTGACTTTGATTTACAAAAAGGTGAATTGATGACAAAACCTATGATTGACAAGCGGAAAGAAGAAAGTCGATGACAAGCTAGATAATCATTACGAAACTCCGAGCGTGTATAATTAATGCTAATCACGCGATTAATGATCCGCGTGATTAGAGAAACATAATTGGTAGCCTAGTCGATCATCGCGACAACGTTTATAATTAACAAGTTTCCCAAATGTTTACTCGTCACGGCTGAGTGACCCAAACAAGATCTTGTTGTCGACAGGAATATAAACATTTACCGAAATCAACCACAAGATACTTAAATATCCTTCACCTTAGTGTGCCGATATCAGGTAAAACGAGTTTTTCCAGTATGTCAAATTAAACAGTTTCGCTGGATCATTCATAATTACTGTCCATTTTTTTTTATTTCTTTACCTTCGCTGACCTACATGATGCGTACGTCGACTCTCGTTACGCTAATTGCCGTCGATTAAAGCCGTCGACGTTCGCGTGGTTCGATTTGGTCAACAACGGGAGAACTAGTTTCGTGACGGGTGATCGAACGATGTTTCTTGAACTAAATCGTAATCCTCTGACGCAACTCGATGCAGAAATGTTGCATCGACGATTATTCGGATTATTTTTCATTTTTTTGAATCGAGAGTTCCTGTTTGCGGGTCCTTGAACGACGGTGGAAAAGGTGGTCCTTGAAAATGGTCATTATCGAGGTCGAAATGTCCAAAGTATCCGCTGTGTAATATTATTTTCTTTCATTCTTTTATTATAATGCCATGACAGTGGCAGTATCATTTACTAATTTTTAATATTTTCAACAAGCTGTCCTTTTTACCAACGTGATAAAATCAGAAACACGTTCATTTTTGGTAGTTTTAGTGGTAAAATGGTCAGGTTGCGTGGACTTGAAGGATCTACCAGGATGCTTTTTCTTGAAAGGCCAATTCATTGTTACAGACAGAACATTGTTACAAAAGATACGTGGGTAATTTTGAAAATTTTCGAAAACAATTTATTGAAATGGACCCGATTCTTTGCTCCAGAGGCTACGCTCGGTAATTACGTCACCAAAGCACCAAATCAATATTAAAAACAGCCAAGTGATGCCCAGTGACCCCGCTTCGAAATTAAATCACAAATTATCGAATAAATACCAGCGATAGCTATCTAGATTTACATGTACAACAAACATTTGCATCATCCTACAAATTTCGACAATATCCATTGAAATGGCCCCGTCACGTTGACCCAGAGATTCCATTTCAGAATTGAATCAAATCGGTATCAGTGAAAGCTATCTACATCTATGGTACACCTACAAGAAACATTTACATCATCCTACGAATTTCGACGGTAATCCATTAAAATAGCCCAGCCACGATGGCCTAGAAACTCCACTTCAAAATTGAGACCGCAACGATTGAGTCAGTATCAATGAAAGTTATCGATATCTATGTGTATTTACAAGATACATTTATGCATCATTCTACAGATTTTAACAACAGTAACCTATTATATAAAAATGGTCCCACCACATTGGCCCAGAGACTCCACTTCAAAATTCAAACGAATTCGTATCAGTCACTACAAGTTACCAAATCAGTATAAGCGAAAGCTATGTACGTTAATGTACACCTACAAGAAACATTTACATCATCTTACAAATTTCGACAGTAATCCAATAAAATGGCCCCCACGTTGGCCCAGAGATTCCACTTTTACACAATCCTACAAATTTCGATAATAATCTATTGTATTATATCAAAATGGCCCAACACCTGTTGGATCGAAAAGGTCGTTCAAATGGTCCCTCCCCCCTTCCAGTAGTCATCGAAACTCGTCGTTACAAGGAGATTTACCTTCTACGGAAGAGATTCTCGGAAGTGGTGCACACGCGCGGAAATAAGGAAAGAGAAAGAGAAGAAGTAAAAAAAAAAAAACTAATATATGTGGGGTATTGTCACCGATCTAAGGTCAATCGTAATCGGAAACGGAAGAGTTTTGAAGGGCCCTAGAGTGGTTGAATTTACATAAAAGTCATTCGTCACAAGTGATTTCCTGAGTCGAACACGTCCTTCGGCTTGTTTCCTGGTTAAAACTGAGAGAGAGAGAGAGCGAGAGAGCGATCCGAGTTTCGTTCATTCACATCGCGGCCGATCAATGGCAAGGCCTCGTCCGGGAACGCGTGGCACGAAGAAAAAGATCGAGTTTGATCCTACCTTCAATGGGCTCGTTCCTCCCCAGACAAGAAATCATATTCATTGTCAATCTGGGCCATTGATACTCGATAATTCCGTCCAGAAATTATGGAAATATATGAAAAAAATATTCGTAAGTTGGTAAAATCTTATGTTAGAGGAAATAAATAAAGTTAGTTTCCAAGTTATACATTACAAAGCAATTAAACGGATAAATCAGTTAATCTCACATCATCCGAAATCACTTTCCATTAAATCAATAGAGCAAGATTAGATCGATCGCTGGCATTTGATGACAAGGTATAAATCGACTCTTTATACAAAGTTATAATCGAATCAATAGTAATAGGATATAAAATCAATCGATAGATAGCAATAGGCACTAATAGATTAACAGACTAGCCGCTAATGGATCGATAGACGTACAAAAGAATACTACGACAATGGTGACAGATTAGATCGTGATCTCAATTTGGAAAGAAAAATTGGATCATAACTTAAAAAATATGTATATAAAATTAAAGTACATTTTTCGGTGAATCCAATGGAAAATTTCATCCCCGGTTGACAATTCTTCAACAAACTCTATTAAAATGATTATTGCATCATTGCAAAATGATTAATCGCATCGGCCACCGATGGCCATTTTCTTACAGAAGACATTAAAATCCTAAGTCGACCTACTGACCGTCATATTTGTTTAAAAGTCAAAATTGCTGACTTGCCAATACACTCTTACAACGATGATTAAAATGTTAGAAGTTATAACATTTAATAGTAATTGTAGTGTTGAATTAAAATCGTTCGCATAAATCGTCCCCCGACCGCCATTTTGAAATTCACGCGTCCTCGACGGTTCCCAATGTTCCCATCGTTCACATCCGTCAGATTTACAGAAAAAACGAGAACGCATCGTCGTCGTCGAATGACGAAAGAACGAATACCGACGGATAATTGAATAATCGTTCCGGGAAGAAAGGTATGTTCTCGTCACCGAAAGAAAGAAGAACGATCGACAGCTCGATGACGGCACCTTCGAGAGCGGAGAATTTATTGCCGGCGAAAAATCGGCTGGCGACACATTGACGGCGCGGAACATATTTTTAGTTGTCGTTCTTGCGAGAAATTCAAAGGGGAATACCGTGAATAATTCGACCGATCGACGAACAAAAGTTATTGTTTGTACAGACGGTTTCCAAACGGATCGATCGCAAGAATGAATGATCATTTAGGTATGTAAACGTGAATAGACATTACTGATGTAATTAACTGTAACAACAATTAGATTACGGATTTTATGATAAATGATATTTTATAGAGTGATTCGTAAAGACAAGAATGGCAAGCAAGAATTCTTTTTTACTCCCTTAAGCAGGTCATTTTGGTGCTTTTGTATCTCCCTAAATTTTTCATAACTGGGGTTTTTTGATTATACCCACAGCAAAGAATTATTATAAAATGCGCAAATTAATTGTATTACATTAGCAGCCCTTCAAAACAATCCAAAAGAAATTATTCATTTCAACCGTCTAATTTCCATGTACAGACACTTCTCTCGATTATCGTCCCGAACTTCAGTCCCTCGTAAATTCGTATTTTCCCCGAAGCCCGAGTCTCTGTAACAAAAAGAATTTCATTTTCAATACTGTTATTACAAAATAAAAATATTATCGTTTCATGTGAAATACATAGTAATTTCAAATACCTAATTGACTAAAACAAAAATTTGTATACATATATCTTGTAAGTAGCATTCGTGCGATCAATTTTTCTGTGTATATGAGTTCGAAAGGTAAACTTATGCAAACTGTAAACTTTCGAGAGTGATTTGCAGTATGTCTATGCAGTAGTCTAATATGTATATAAGAAAAGAAAATTGCCTCAGTTCATTTACGTAACGAAAATACCGTGTACACGAAAATACCTGTACACCGGATGTGATTCTGCTCGGCACGTGTCCGGTGACACATGGATCGTACCGTCGCCGGTGGATCATCGTACACCATTATTTCGACCGATTACGCGATCGTCGTTGGATCGGGAGATTTTGTTTTCTTCCTGTTCGAGGTCGAATATGGACTTCTTATCGTGAATTACATTCGGCTGGGACTTGTGGCAGGTAATCGTGCAGTTTCAGTGCAAATGTTTGTCCTTTTTTTTGTTCATTTTTTAAAAATCTTATTCTGGGTGTAATAACGTTATTATTTTCATTACGGTTTGTTAACGTTAGAATCATTTTGGAGATCGATTAAATCGATATTAATCTAGGAATTATTTCAAACGATTAGAAAATAAAATTGCATTATTTGAAATAATATTTCAAATAATATATTCTTCATTCAATAATAAATAATATTATTTCAGATATGGTTACAGGCATGGAAATAAATAGGAAATAAAATATTATGTTATTTGAAGTAATATTTTAAATAAATAATATCATTTCAGAAGTGACCAGGTCTGTTTACCATGTGTTATTAGCATACGTGCGAGGATAGAGACCGCAGGGGGTAACACTACGCGATCTCGAGGTCTACAAGTGTCCTTTTTGTTTTATCGGCCACTTGTTATCCCTTTACGATCGTTCCTCCGGGTCAGAGTTACGTTATACGATCGCAGGGACCTTCGAGATCAGTTTCTGACCCAAGGAGAGGATCTCCTCTTTCCCCACCGACCTGAAGATCCATTTCAAAGACTAAATTTCCAATTTTATGCATGAATAACGTAAGGACACTACTGTCTAAAACTAAACATAATTAACGCCTTTTACCTCAAGTAATTAACTAATTAACGATGGTTATTTAATAGGTATGACGGTGGTATATAACCAAATTAGATACAAAAAAAAGAAAATATATATACAGAGAAATAAAAGAAAAACAATAAGAAAAAATTGAAGAAATTTCGACCGTGAGCTCATCTGAACGTGTTATTGTAAGTGTTGCTAATAATGCAAACAAGTGGTCGACGCGACCGTGAATAATAAAAAAGAAGAAAAAAAAACATTTCGCTGGTAATAATATTCCATTTACATATATGAACGTTCGTGGTCGACCGATGACGAGTCTGTAAAATAATCGAACGGTGCGCCGCGTGGTTTTCACGGAAGAAAGTCACGCGTTTGTTCAAGTGTTCGTGAAAGAAAATTCAGCACGATGATCGAATCCATATTGTAGTCGGTTCACGGTCGACGACGTGATCGAGTCACTTTCCCATGAGTCAGATCGCGAATGAAATTCGAAACAGAGCAGCGCAACGGGCTCGATCGATCCGCGCCGACGAGAAGTCTGCGGGGATTAATGTATGGAAATGTAAATCCTGCGTGTGTGTGTGTGTGGATCGAGTCGAAATTGACATTAATGTAACACCGATCTAAACGGAGATAGCGATGATTCCTTGACGGTGCTTAGCATAAAATCATAACGAAGAATTGTTGGTGGACTTGCCTGGGCTTAGATAAAAATTATTGTTAACGACATCGAACGGTATAATCCTTTATGAGTCGAGTTATTGATCTGTTCGTGCAGTATAGAGGATATTTTTCTGTATTAGTTTTGCTACGAAATGATTTAAGGGACATGTGTTGAAGTGTATATTAGGCTTAAGGGTGAATCACAATTTGGGATCGTTGATAGACACTTTTGTTCAGTGGATATTCACGATCGATTTGTAGGAATGAAGATCATATTCAAGTGGGTAGACGAGTTAAAGGTCAGCTGAAACTTCGAACAATTTCAACCTTCGATTTATAAATAGACATGTACTCAAGTGTATATTCTGCTTCAGTTTCCAATTTCAGTCTTCGAGTTACAATTAGACGTGTACTCAAGTGTATATTCGTCTTAAGTATCAATTCCAACTCCGATTTTTAAATAGACACACACGAGTGTATACTCAGCATAAGGATCAATTTCATCAGTCTTTAATAAACTCGTACCCAAGTGTACGTATATTCTTCTTCAGTATCAATTTCACTTTCAGCTTAAATATCAGTTGCAACTTCGACTTATAAATAAACATGTACCCAAGTGTATGTATATGTGTATACTCTGCTTCAGCATCAATTTCAATCGTAGAGTTACAATTAAACGTACAGCCAAGTGTATATTCAGTTTAAGTATCAGTTGCAACATCACAATTCATGACGATTTCCTATGCATGTACAGCGACGAGCAAACTCGGCTTCCTCTGAGGGAAAAGTAATAAGGTAGGTGAAGGGCCTCCAACCATTTAGCTTTCGGAGTTACTGAAATTTATGCTAAATTAACACTCGGTTTAACATTTATTTCAGTACTTGAAATAAATTTACTAAGTGGTAGGAGACGTTTCTTCTACACCACTGTTTCCTCTAATGCAGGGTTTCCCAAACTTTTTCTGCAATGGAACACTTCTATACTATAATATAAACATAAATATATGAATAAATAAAGCACTTAGTAACTTTGATGATAATACAGTTTGGGAAATCCTGCTCTAGTAGAAGTGGAGTTTGCTCGAGAGGGTACATACACTCACCTTAAACATCAACTCATATCTACGAAAAACTATCAAAACGCAGCGTATACGCAGCTTAAGATTAAAAAGTAGAAACCCACCGTCACCGATCAGACCACCCTCCTAATACATATCTGTAAACTTACAGCTCTTCTTCCTTCCATCGTGTACAATCGTCCGACTCAACGATCATTGTTATTTCAGTACTCTCTGGGCAACTTTGTAATTCTATAATTTTTATAATTTTTATAATTTCGATAATTTCGATAATTTTGATCGTTTTGATAATTTTATAATCGTGTGTCTCATTCCACGTCCTGTACATGTATACAAAATAGCATATTTCCCATTAAATACATAAATAAATAAATTGTACAGTCATAATCTGGCGTCGTCCCTCTTTCTTGTCGCCTGAAACCATTCCGTGATCACGTCGACGAGTGGAGAAAGAGAGAGACAGAGGAAAGAAAAAGTGTATCGAGAACATTGTTTCTCCATTCAGGAAACGCGGGCCCATTGACAACCGAGCGAAATTTAAAGCCGTTCCCTCTCGTCGAACTTGAGTTCCACGAGTCTGAACCGGGCCGTAACTCACCGCTCCTCGTTCGAAACGTCACTTTTTATCGCGACCGTGCGCAACAATCGCCGCCGCGTTGGAGGTCGTGCCTTTTGTCGCGGAATAGCATAATGGCACCTTTTACCCGGTAAACGGGGATAGAGAGACCGTACTGTACCATTTCGCGGACGCTGAATCGGAGCGTGATCGTCGGTTTTCTGGATCAACGAGCTGCTTTGTTGCGATATCTCGAAGTTATAGCAGCTTCGTGGACCATAATGTATTACATAGATCGCGTAGAAATTATTTAGCATAAATTATAGAAAAATGGCCCCTTTTATCCCCTTGACTCGCTTCAAGATTCCACGAAGAGGTTCTTTGCAAATGAGACTTCTGATCTGAGCGGTCCTTGTCCTCTTCTAGGCGGTATAAATAGTGAATTTCTAGGGAATTCTGGGAAATTTCAGATAAAATTGATGAAAAAGTTTATTTTAATGTGGACCTTGCTCCAATCTCTGAAGAAATGGAAAGGCTGATTCTTTTCAGTTCAAATAAAAAAGGAATCGACCGAATACGATGATTTACAGAAGTTCAGGAACAATTCCTGGTTCTTCGATAAAGAATATCTCGCCGATGGAATCTCACAAAATTGTCCATTAAACTCGTGAGATTGAAACAATCTACAGAACACAAGGTCCTTTGTTCTCCACTATCATTGCTCACGATTTCCGAGACTTCAAAAACATCTTAAGACGCGAAAATTGTGCAACGTCTTCAATATCCGACGAAAATTATTTCCAAGAAAAATTTAAAAACATATCGTCGTGTCCTTAAGCAGAGAGAGGCCATTGATAACGACTCGACCTAGAGGATACAAGAATCGAGGACGATGTTCCCACCGCCACGATGACTTTCTTCTCCTCAAATATAATTTTAACAAGCACACGACTCGTAAATTTTTTCGTTAGTTTGCCCAATAATCAAACGATCCTTTCGTAAATACTCGACGCTCGATTATTGTCTCGTACCTATTTCACGATCTAAGATTATTTCAGGGAAATTATTGCAATAATAGTAAAAAGAAATTTTCAGTAAGAATTGAAGAAGTTTCTATTTCATCTCTAACGTGGCTGCGACGTAACAAGATGGCGACTTCGTCGGCCACCGCTGTGTACTCTACTGTTCTTGTACACCAAATGACTTATTTCCCATTAAATAAATAAATAATAATAATAATATATGTTTCTCTATTTTATGGATATATCATACTAAAAGAAATATTTTAATTTAAAAATCACGCGTTAGCAGCATCTTCAAAATTTTATCTTGACAGCACACTATTCCCAGATAGCACATGACGTCTTAAAGACGTCTATTTTAGGTCTAAGGCGCCTTTACAACTGTGTTCACGAGAATCATACAAAAAATCTGACAACACTGATCGTGCTCGCGTTGTTCGTCAACGACGAGGTTATTGCTGGGTATAAAATCAACCAGGAATGCATATTTGCCTGTGTCAGAAGGTGAACGAATCGACGGGGACACGGGGATCGAGGGAATTTCCCG